TTAATATTTTCATTTTATACTACACCAAATCAGGAATTAAAGTAGCATGTAAAAGGATACCGAAGAATATTTAAAAACAGGCAAAGCTTCTGGTTTGAAAAGTCCATGAAAATGATAAAAAGCTTTTTTGAAAAGGATCTGAAGAAGTAGAAGCTAGTAAAAGTAATAATAGTTTGTACTTAGAAAAAAATATATTAGAAAATGTTTCAAGGGGCAACAATTTGAGTTCTCAGCTTCTGTTTATTGTTTTTAATTTCTTTTTGATACACTGGAGTATAAAATCCAAATTAATAACTTTCATTGCTTCACTACAATATTGATAGTTTCTTCTATTTTCAACAAGAACTTTCAAAGTGAAAAAAATGCTATACATATTTGGGTTCAACAGCTTGTACCTCCATTTGTAGCATAAATTTTAAAAATTCAATTCAATAAATGTATAATTTTATTTATTTATTTATCATATTTACACATCATACAAAGTGTGACTCTGAATGGTTTAAAGTAAAAAAAAACTATTAAAAGTAATATATAGGCAATATTTTTTTTAAAAAAAATATGATTAAAAGGTGAGGAAAGAGCTACAGATATTAACAACAGTGGAGCAACCTGAGCAACTCATTCCCTTGGGATCCCCTGGCCTGATGACATAACCAAGTTTTGAGGGACTTATGGAAAATTAACAGAGATGAAGCAAGCTTTACCTCTGTGGATGGTGATGGTGGGGAGGGATGACGTTCTATAAAGTAGGAGCCATGGCAGGAAAAGCGTGTCTTCTTAGTCCTACCACATTAGCTCCTTAGCAGATGGAACCTATGACATATCTCATTTGTTGGATCTGGTGAGATGTAATCAGGAAACAGTAGTCCCACAAATAACATGTCAGTTCCATGACATGAAGGCAGTGGTGGGATTCAAAAAAATTTACTATCATGTGGGCATGGCTTGGTGGGCGTGGCTTAATTTGTCAGGGACAGAGATGTATAATTGATCACCATGCTCAATTTATACCTTATCCAATGGCAACCAATGCATTCAGAGAGACCATCAAACCCTATGGTACCCCACTTAGTTGGGGTTGAGGGGGGATGCTCTACCCCCCAATCACCAGCACTTAGTATCAATCCTGATAAAAGAGGCGAACAAGCACAATACAGTGCCATCCACCCCCAATACCATGGTCCATGATATTAAGGCCATCGAGAGGTCGAGCAGAGCAAGGATGGATTCCCATCCCACTCCCTCCAGACATCATCTAAAAGCACAACCAATACTATTTCTATTCAATATCTGAGCCTGAATCCTCATTCAAAAAGGGGTCAAGACAATCCACTTCATCCAAAGTCCTCTGAAGCTGTTGCACAGCCACTTTCTCAACTACCTTCTTCCCCAGGGGAAGTTAAATACTGGACAAACATTTACCAGTATGGTGGGGTCCAGCAATGGTTTATGAGGAGGGAGCAAACCAAGGCCTCCTTAAGAGGGAAAGGAACAAACCTGTCACTCAAAGAAAAATTCACTACCACTAGAGCCCACTCATATGATACCCCTCAGGCTGCTTTAAAGTGCCCTTCCCCATATTGTACTGTTCAGCATCTATACAGATGAGCATTAAGGAAAACATTTCCAGAAATTTCTGGAGTATAGCTCAGGGGTGAAATCCAGCAGGTTCTGACAGGTTCTGGAGGACCGGTAGCGGAAATTTTGAGTAGTTTGGAGAACCAGCAAATGGCTGGCCCTAGAGTGGGGAGGGAATGGAGTTTTTGCAATATCCTTCCCCAAGGAATGGGGTAGGAATGGGGATTTTGCAGTATCCTTCCCCTGCCATCCCACCAAGCCTCGTCCACCAAGCCACACCATGCCCACCAAGCCACGCCCACAGAACCAGTAGTAAAAAAATTTGGATTTCACCACTGGAATAGCTGTAGCATATATCACAACTAAGAAGAATCTAGTCCACATATTTCCATAATCCCCTCATTAAAAGAGACAGCTTAGTCATTCTGGAGACCTTCTCAAAAATGCCCACTGTGTCAGTTTCTAATGCTTAGTCCATGATGAAGTAAGCAAATCTGAGTTGATTAAATTCAGAAGGGAAATATAAAGAAATCTTGTCTCTGATAAGAGTATTCTTGGAAATAAGAGCTAGAGAAGGAATCTTTAATAAGATGGATTAGTCCTCTAATCTTTTAACCTTCCCATCACATTTACAAAAATATGTAGGATTTATATTGATATTTAATAATTAGGTTTTCCAAAAAATATTAATCGGTAGGTAACACATTGATGTTTGGTGTTGAAGGGGGATATTTACCATTATTTGAAATTAATTGTAAAAAATGATACTTTTCACTTAAGGTCTCAATAATTTAAAATATTGTCCTGAATATATACTGTATATGATCTAGTATAAATGGTGAAGTAAAGAACCTTCCTTGCATTAATGTTGAGCACAGTGATTTTGCTTCCTTGCTATTTACCAACATACAGTTAGATATGTTTACTCCTCCCTTTTGTTTCTTTAAAATATTAATTAATTGATTTTGTTCACAGTTAACAGAGAATAAAGCTGTTTTTAGTAGAACAGTAACTATTATAATATTGGCCAACTACCATCCTGTCTCCAACCTTCGCTTCATGGTGAAGGTTGTTGAGAGTGTGGTCACGCGACAGTTCCCACAATTCTTGGAGGAAACATCTTATCTAGATCCGTTCCAGTCGGGTTTCAGGTCTAGGCACAGCACGGAAACGGCATTGGTCATGTTGGTTGATGATCTCTGGAGGGCTCGGGACAGGGGTTGCTCCTCTGTTCTGGTCCTGTTAGACCTCTCAGCGGCTTTTGATACCATCGACCATGGTATCATGCTGCACCGGCTGGAAGAGTTGGGGGGTGGGAGGCACCGTGTTGCGGTGGTTCTCCTCCTTTCTCTCCGACCGGTCGCAGTTTGTGTTGGCAGGGGGGCAGAGGTCAACCTCGAGGCCTCTCATCTGTGGAGTGCCGCAGGGATCGGTCCTCTCGCCCCTTCTGTTCAACATTTATGTAAAGCCGCTGGGCGAGATCATCCGTGGCTTCAGGGTGAGATACCACCAGTACGCTGATGACACCCAGCTGTACATCTCCACCCCAGGCCACCCCAATGATGCCCTTGAAGTGATGTCCCAGTGCCTGGAGGCCGTGCGGATCTGGATGGGGAGGAACAGGCTCAAGCTCAACCCTTCCAAGACTGAGTGGCTGTGGCTCCCGGCATCCCAATATAGTCAGTTGACTCCATCACTGACTATTGGGGGCGAGTCTTTGGCCCACACAAAAAGGGCTCGCAATCTGGGAGTCCTCCTGGATATGCAGCTGTCCTTGGAGGAACATCTGACAGCTGTAACTAGGGGGACCTTTTGTCAGGTTCGCCTGATTCGCCAGTTGTGGCCCTTTCTTGATCGGGATTCCCTGTGCACAGTCACTCATGCCCTCGTCACCTCTCGCCTTGACTACTGCAATGCTCTCTACATGGGGCTCCCCTTGAAGAGCACCCGGAGGCTCCAACTGGTCCAGAATGCAGCAGCGCGGGTAGTGATGGGAGCAGCATGGCGCTCCCATGTAACACCGCTCCTGCGCAAGCTGCATTGGCTCCCAGTGGTCTTCCGGGTGCGCTTCAAGGTGTTGGTTATCACCTTTAAAGCGCTCCATGGCATCGGGCCTAGCTATCTTCGAGACCGCCTGCTGCTACCGACGACCTCCCATCGTCCCGTGCGCTCCCACAGAGAGGGCCTCCTCAGGGTGCCATCAGCCAATCAATGTAGGCTGGTGACTCCCAGGGGGAGGGCCTTCTCTGTGGGGGCACCTCTGGTTGCCCCCAGAGATAAGGAGAATCCAAGACCTTAGTGCCTTCCGCCGTGCCCTTAAAACCCACTTTTTCCAGCAAGCCGGGCTGGCTTAAGAAGAAATTTTAAATGTTTTAATTGGTTGTATTTTTAATTTTGGGCCAAATTTATATATATTTTAATTGTTTTTAATATTTGTATTTCATGTTTTTTAATTCTGGCTGTATACCGCCCTGAGTCCTCAGGGAGAAGGGCGGTATATAAATTTAAAAAAATAAAAATAAAAAAAAAATTAATAGAGGGGTGTACATGTGTATGTGTGTCACATTTTAAAAGTTCATACTATTTTTCTTGAATTTAGAAGGGAACAAAACAATCCACTCTTCAGGTTTGCCTGGTATTTTTCTAAACATAAAAATGGTAGTGAATTCTTGAAAAAGGCCATCATTTGCTATGCTCTTTGTTTATATCTAGGTGTGAAATGATGTAAATATCAGACTTGCGAAGATTTCACAGAAATATTGCTGAAGAGCCAATGCTTTTTTTTTTGTAAATGGTATGATTTTACAGAGAGTTTATTTAATATCTTTATTTGGAAAAGCAAGTTATAAGCTCTCTGCAAAATTTGCCTTGGAGAAAAGAATAAGAAAGAAGCAGTTAAACCAATCGCTTGTAAAGCAACATGAGCACAGAAATGATGGACGCATGGATCAAAAATCTTGCTTCCCAATTTCATTTGCTGCGTGCAACAGACTAGTCTAATTTCCACAGATCCAAGAAGTAGAGGTGGCATAACAGTCAATCCTCAGTGATATTCTTATCTATCACTAGATGAAGTGAACTATTGCAAGGGACAAATAAACACCCCTTTTCTTGGTCTAGGGGTTGTTCTTTGCAGAGCCATATGTTCTTTCATATCATATTATGTTTGAAGAGCTTTTAGGATGTATGACACCCCAAACCTTTATATTTTTGCAACCTAGGTAGAGAGCCATTTGTTTATTCAGATCAGGAATTGGCAACCAGCAACCCAGAGGCAAACTGAAGCTTCGGAGTGGACCTCTTGGCAATCCTCCTCATTTAGTGCTGAAAATGAGGCAAACCCTAGGAAAAAGAGTCCCCCTGCTGTCTGCTCCCCCTTCCTCAATGCTTAGGACAAAAATGGACAAACGAAAAATACCCAAGATGCTTTATGAATTTAATAAGCACAGATGAAGCTAAATTTCCAGAATAGTTTACTAATTGTTTTGTTTATGGAAGGTACATCTTGTCTTCAAATGCCTCTCTTCATGATGAAAGAGTATTTGTACCATATTTATGTTTGCATCTAAATGCAGAGGATTATGAACAGTTATCTGCAAAAATGCAAAAAAAATAATAATAGCAGAATGCACAGTAATATATTAAATTGGCATAGAATAGAACTAGAATACAACATTGATTGTAATTATTCCCTTAATAAATGTATGTCTACCTTGCCTGTTTTGCTTTGTCAGGGCTTTTTCTCAACGTAGCCCTCAGTTTATCATAGAAATATGAATATGTTCTTCAGACCCCCCTCAAATTCAAGAAAAAGATGCGCAACCTGGAACTCTAGAAATATATCTCACCATCCGCTAGAAAAAGTTGGGTGAAGCCCCCAAAGCCTTTCAACATTGTTCATAAAATGCAACTTTTTAATTAGACTGAACAGGAATTGTTATATATCTAAGAAGGATTCATATTAATTGCATTTAATTAATTTTAGACTTTATCCTGCCTTTTCCTACTGCTTCGTTTGGTCCTATATCTTTAATGGATTGTTGCCAGAAAGTATTTCTCTGCTGTCCAGGCCAGTTTACGATGCCATTTAAAACCTAGAACAACTATAAAATGTTGAAACAACAAAAACAAAGTTAAGAATCCATAAAACAAATGGAAGGGCTTACAACTCACATGAGAACAGGCAATCCATATAACATCATTTATTTCTATTCTTCCCTTTGGAGGGCATAATTAGTTTATGCTTCTCATGAAGCTCATTGGCCTGGTTTGCATGAAAGGTCACCCACTGAAACAAAAATACTTAAATCAACTCAATACTTAAATCAAGAATCAATAACTATCTGATAGTGGTTCTTTGTCAAATCCTGGGTGCATTCAATGATTGTATTTATAGCAATTGGATATAAGCTGTTTTAATATAATTAAAGAGAGTCCTTGTGGTATAGCAATTAAGGTACTAGTCCACACTGGGGTGCCTCAGCTTCAAGTCCATCTTTAGCCACAAAAGTTCATTGGGTCATTTTGAACCAGCCATCTCTCTCAGCTCAGTCTACCTCATTAGGTTCTTGTTGTGGAGATAAAAAGACCCCCCCCCCACACACACACATTAAAACATCTCATATCTCATATAGGATCCAAATCTGCTTTGAAGTGAAGCCTGCAGTTTACTGTTGAACTGCTAAGCTTCAGGCAGTCTGGTATATGGTGAAATACTGGAAATTATAGTTCAGCATCCCCTGGAGTAGCACAGAATTTGACAAAAGAGAATATTTGTAGCTCAGGGTTGAACTGTGAGGTCCCTATTGCTCTCTGAGCCTGGTTGTTTTCTTGCAGACCTTTTGTCAGTGCACTGATTATGTTTTCTAGTTTGGTCATGAAACATCTACAAGGAAACAACCAAGCTTCAGAGAGCACCAAGGACCCCATAAAACTTGACATTCGGGTGTGCCTGAAAGCACTGACCTTTCATTGGTATCCATGATCAGGGATGGCTGTAGCACCAAGTAGGCCCCATTTTGAGGCACCAAGTTTTAAGGGGTGCCAAAATGGAAACTGTCAGATGTAAATGCCTTATTCTCTAATGTGTAAATAGTGTACAAACAGGGTATCAGGGGTTAACTTATTCTTCACTTCTTAATGTATTCATAATTCACCACTCCCACATATAGCTCCACCCATTGTATATATAAGGAGCTACCTACACCCTTTCCCTTGCTTCTATCTGTGAATATTCAGTGAATATAGAATGCCTAATGTAAATAAAAGAATATATAGTTAAATCTTTAACTCTTGCTAATCTTATTGAGTCTGATCCTGAAAATATTGCAACAGAAACGGCCTCTTAAAAATGCAGTAAAAAAGCAAAAAGCAGTAAAAGCATGCACCTGCTGGAGGGTTAGATATAGTTTTGCAGAATTGTTGCCCTATGACAACAACTTGTGCTGATGTAATTAAAATTACTTACTGTGGTTAGAAGTGAATAGAAATAGAATAGAAATGTCCAAAAAAAAAGAAACAAATGTTGGGCTGAAAATGTTATATGTAAAGCTCAAATACCTGAAGAAAAAGAGAATCAAGAGGGCTCCTTTTCTAACAAAATTGGAAGATGAGCCAAACCATAATGGGTGCCAGAATATTACCTTGTGTAGGACACCAAAATATGTAATACTGGTTCTGTCCATGATTTCACATCCAAGTATATATTCTAATGTTTATCAACCTCAGCCATTTTAAGGTGAGAGCAATACAATTCCCAGTTGGGAAGTCTGGGAAATGAAGTCCACTCATTTTAAAATGGCTGAATTTGAAAAACACTGGTATATTCCATATAGCCTGGAATGATTATAGGCCAAAACCCAATGGTGTTTTATGGGCCTATTTTTTAAACAGGCAAATTTAGAACTATAACTGAGCTTTCCTACCTTATCTTCTTTTTAAAAGCTCCTTCTTTCCTCAATTTTCCCAATGGTAGATTGTGCTCTGGGCAACACATGAAAACAAATGCCTTGGACCTCCTGTACAAGGGAGTGGAATGAGGGAGAAATATGAAAAAGGTAAAAATGATGAATCTCCCCTTGAAGGAAGAGGGTCATGATGAGAGACTTCCCGTAGTGTTGGCAACAGGGGAAAATTCTTTCTAAGTACACACAACAATATTGAATCTGTCGCTTTCATTTTAAAAGAGCAACTATCATCACAATATCATTTGGGAGCAAACACAAAAAGCAGCTGACTTACTTTTTTTTTTTTTAAAGTAATTCTTTCTTTTTGCTAGGCTTGCTTCAAATGAAGCAATATTAGACTGTGAGGTGATGGGCCCTTAAACCTTTTGCTGAAGTGATCTGGTTACACGCTCTAAAATCTGCTTTAAATGCTCTTGTAGCATTTAAGTAAAAAAAAATCTACTGTTTTGAATATAGCTGAAATCAGCACAAAAAAAGGAGGAAAAGCCACCCTCTTTCTTAGCCTCAGAAAAAGGTAATTTTTCCCTCTAAACTTACACTGATGTTCAAAAAACATGGCAGTGATCATCTGTTGATCTTCTTGTGATTTTCCTTTTCTAGACTCACAGGGAGACAGGTGGTCTATTAAGCAATACACTCTTACCTGTTCAAAAGACTTATTTGCTCCATTCCCTCTTTCTTTCCTGAAGAACAGGCTTATCCATCACATTAAGTCATGGCTTTCTTAATCCATACTTTCACAGGCGATTCAAAAATAATGGGGTTCACACATAGTGAAACACTATGTGCAAAACACATAGTGCATTGATTATATAGCATGCTCCAGATCATTGGTGGGTTTCAAATTTTTTACTACCGGTTCTGTGGGTGTTTCTCGGTGGGTGTGGCATGGTTTGGTGGGCGTGGCTTGGTGGGCGTAGCAGGGGAAGGATACTGTAAAATCTCCATTCCCACCCCACTCCAGGGGAAGGTTACTGCAAAATCCCCATTTCCTCCAATTCACCTGGGACTCGGGAGGCAGAGAATAGATGGAGGTGGGGCCAGTCAGAGGTGGTATTTACCGGTTCACTGAACTACTCAAAATTTCCGCTACCGTTTCTCCAGAAATGGTCAAAACTTGCTGAAACCCACCTCTGCTCCAGATAGTCCTTGCCCATATCTGCCCATCATGATTGTAAGTTGTAATGATTGTAAAATGAGTTATCCACATGACCAATCTGAGTTTCTGACCATTTTTGTAATGGTTACTAAGTGACCCAATCAGTTCAGCCATCTGTGCCAAAACTGGAAGTAAATGCCAGTTTTCAACAAACTCCATGTCATAAAACGCAATCATGTGATATGGGATGCTGCAAATAGCCGTAAATGCAGGCAGGCTGCTGAGGACCCAACATGAGGGCATATGACCATGATGGAGTGGGCTGTCAGAACTCTGAAACTGGGTTGTAACTACCTCTTGTGCTAACTCTGAATGGTCACTAAGCAATCGGTCATACATTGAGAATTTCCTATATGCCAAAATTAGACAAAGTAAGTTATAGTTCATCAAAATGAAGTTAATGGTTGGGTTACAACTATCCAGTATTTAACTATTTCTTTACTAGTTAATATATCATTTTCTTTTATGATGGAATGGCACAATCCATCGATATAAACTCCAACATTGCATTAATGCAGTAAACATGATTAACGTATATGGAAATTCTTGCCCACCACCCAAATTCATACAAAACAGTATATCTTTGGAGAGAATATGTCCAAAAATGTATTTAAGGGATGTTATGTATAAAGCCCTAGCATATATTATGGTTAGTTTGATTTTAAAATATAAATGTATCATGGGGTACTTCATTAAAAAAAAGTGCATAGGAAGAGTTGCATTAGAAATAAAATGTATTAGGAAAAGTTGCTGTGCTTAGTAGGGGAATTGTCATATAATTATAAGCAAAACATATAAACAGAGTGTAAAACTGAAGCCCCATAAATCAATTGAGTATGCTTTATTAATTTATTCATAATTTAAACATATGTTTATATGTTTTATTAATTACAGAAAAAATTACTGTGTTTTTGGAAACATTCAAAAAGAGATGCAGCAAATAAGTAAACAAGTGTTTAGAAGAAAATGGCAAACAGTTTGAATATTCAATGTAATTTATATGAGAAATTATCTGTCGGGCCTGACATTTGATATATCTTATATAACCGAAACTTGCGTATGAAAATAAATATTTTCTCGCAATATTTTTAAAAAACATTTCATACAAGATTAGATGTAATTTATTTATTTATTTTATTTATATCCCACCTTTATTATTTTTATAAACAAGTCAGGGCAGCAATTTAATATTCCTTCCTATTTTCCCCACAACAACAAGCCTGAGAGGTGAGTTAGACTGAGAAAAAGTGACTGAAAGTGTCTGCTTTCATACCTAAGGCGGAACTAGAACTCAGTCTCCCATTTGGTAACCTGATGACTTAATGTCCAGATCAGGGGAGTTAAACTGGCGGCCAGTGGGCCGGATGTGTCACATGCAGGCCACGCCCACCCTGGCTCAGCAAAGGCAAAAAAGTCACAATGTCAGATGATGTTACATGACACGATTGAGTTTTACACCTGTTGACATTAAACCAGGAAATGGAAATAATAAACGGAATTCTAAATGTAAATGAAATAATAACCAAATACATGCATATTGTGTGCATACATCCAGACTTGGGCTTATACAATTTTATGACAATAAATAGAGATTAATATAGAGTGAGGTAAAATCTTATCATATAATATTATTTAGGAGAGAGAGGCAAAGAAATATCCTTAATTTAAACACTGCTATTCACTTGTATGAGAATGTTAGGATTCTTCCTCATAGCTCAGCTGATATGTCACCCACTGATCCTGAAGTCATCTGAAAAGTATTTATTTCTTGAATTTCGGGACCACCAATCTCCAAAAATGATACTGATTGATTAGGTGCCATTCAAAGGATAACACTTTTAATGACCACATAGATAGACTTTCTTCAGAATGGATCTGGTCCCTCAATTGTATGCTCATTGCTGTTGTAATCAAATCCATCCTCTCGCTGTTGGTTATCTTTTTCCTCTCTGTCCTTTTAGTTTTCTCAGCACTTTGGACTTCTCAGGGGAGCTGGACATCTTTGCATATGTCCAAAATGTCCAGGACTGTTATGATTCACCTTGGTCATTTGTGCTTCAAGAATTCTGGATTGATTTGTTCTATGATCTATGTGTTTGTTTTCCTGGTTATCCATTCAAGAGCCTTTTTCAAAGTACAAATGTATCAAGTCAGCCCTCCAAGGTAAACCAGACAGGAAATACAATTAACTGAGTTAATTCTACTGTATTATAAAGCTGTATTAAGAGAATCAGCAGGTCTGAAGGTACAAACCCACTATCATTTTTCACTGCCTGATCAATTAGGGTGGGTCTTTCCTAGGTTTCTTCTTTTGACCATTAAGCGACTACAGACTTCTCTTCTATGGCCTATTGTTTCTTAGGTAGCATCTCTTTCCCTCATCATCGCATGGTCATCCACACATTCCATTGCAATATTTATTTTTATCCTGCTTCTTTAAAGTCCAATTTTCACACGTCTCAGAAAAATCATTGTCTGCATAATTCTGCTCTTTGTAGGTAGACACATCACAGTATTGGAGTATCTCCTTGAATGCCTTCATTTCGACTCTACTATGTGCTGGTTTATGGCATATTTCTTTTCTCTAACTGAGCACAATTCTGGTTTACTGGTAAAGGGAGCAAAAATCCTTTCCTTATATTTTAATGCTAAAGCAGATAAGGACAATAATTTTCCTTAATTTTCAAATGAGCCTAAGTCTAACCAATACTTTCAAGACACATATGATTACTCTTTCAAATAGTGCTAAATCTATACAGAAAAGGAACCCAATTAAACACTTGATAAATACTTCAGAAAGTGCCACTTGGAATCTTGACTAACTAACCTCTCCAGAAGCCAGGAGTCCAATCTCTTCTGATACCCAAACCAAACTAACCATGGAGGATAGTACCTAGCAATGGGTACTATGTGTGGATAAGATGTGTATGTGTCTGCAGCAACATAAAGTGGCCAGTAGGAACTGGATAGTTCCAAGCACCTGACCATGCCATCAACCACTGTGTCAACAAAGTTTCTAAGATTATGTCTATGTATTGGGAGAAGAGAGAAAATACTACAAAAAAACTGGAACAGCTCAATATGACCTTAAATTTCCTTTGCTCTTGGAAGGCACACAGAGGCCACTGGGGACAGTTTTCAGAGAATTTGTGCTAAGGGCTCCAGAAAACGTGACTGCTATAAGATTTTAAAGAGGGATACCTTGGAATGTAGAAAACAACCTTTCTGAGTGCTTTGCACAGCCCTCATAGTTATGCACTGGAAAAGCCAAGCAAAAGCATCCATTTTTATAGGTTGCTCAAGGAACATTATATTGATTATTAATATAGTACAGTAGGATGGCAGTTTACTGCCAATATGAAGTGCTTGTATCTGATGTGTTTTACTCACGATTTATCCAGGATTTTGTTGATATATTGCCCACTCCATTGGCAGTCTTCCAATGGATTGTGAGAGGTGATCCTGGTTTTGGTGCCAAGGACTCCTAGAAAGATGGTGTTAGAGAATTTCAATATCTATGTTGGAATTACCAAGCTTGAAGCAATTAAAGATTTCATAAAAATGCATTTCCCAACTTGTTATTGATCCAACATTCACATATATTCTGGATTTGTCTATTTTTCTACTGAACAAGAGGAGGTGGTTTAAAACTGGAGTATTTTACTTCCAGTCCCTTGTCATGGTCATATCACTTCATGTTGGGATTAGGTTTATAATACTTATTTCTCTATCTAGGGTAAGGGACCAATAAGGTTAAATATTCAATGCAATGAAGTGCAATGCCACCAACTAGGCAATGATTAAAACTTTTTGGAGGAAAACACATCTGAAATGTGATGAACCCTTAGTTAAAAACAAATTACTGAAAATACTCTGCAATAATGATGAAAAGAAAATAATATTTTTTTTCTCTACCATTGTATCCTCTCTCTTGTACAGATTTTCTCAGTGGTTTGGAGATCTATTTCATTACATAGAATTACTATTAGCTAGCTATGACATATGGTTAACACCTGGAGTATAAAATCAGTGAGGCTTGTCATAACTTAGATTGCTGCCTTAGAAATAGGCAGGATAGTGTCTGATCTGATTCTGTTGGATGACTTTTAAAGCCTGAAGATGCAGTCATGGTGTTTACAATGTGTTCTTTGAACAGTATTTCCCATGACTTACAGCCTCAGACTCACCTAGACTTAGTAGATTCTTCCACCTAGTTCTCAAGAATGCTGATGTCTAAAAAGAGCAACAAAAGACAATTGTGTGAATTGGACTTGGCAGTTTATTCAGGAACAGCTAATTGAAGGAGACTACATCTTGTTGAGGCCAGTTATGCTTTGGTAGGATCAAAGGTGGTTAGAATTTAGATTGCAACCCTGGATTCTTATCCTATGATTCCTATCTACCCAGGCTTTCCTTGGGATTTGATTCAGTTTGTTTTCAGATCCTCAGTCTCTTAATGTTCTTGAAACAGTTTCTGTGGTGTATCTGATTATATGTACACAAAAGTTTGCCTGAATTTACAACTTTGAGGTAGGGCTGATAATTGCAACCCAAAACAAGATAAGGCCTGCTACTCAAGCCAGAACAATGTCTCACACTCAGTCAGAAGATTGGCCCTCTTAGTTCAAAGACATCTTCA